TCTGTATACTCCTCAATAACTCCCTGTCTTGATCCCTAAAGGCTCTATATATGTATTAGCTCAGCGCTACACATTCTCCTCTCGTCACTGAGGTCCTCTATCCACATGACAGAGAGGGGAACGCAAACATGACTCAGCCTGCAACTGAAAATATGGATGGAGGACCTCAGTTTAACTTTTTAGTTTGTCACGCTAACAAGCTACATATAAGGCAATATAGCGTCGACGCTAGCGCAAAGGCTAACAGGCTAAGCTGAAATTATTCTTCCAGGAAGCAGCGCTGTTGTCCTCCATCCATATTTTCACTTACAGGCTGAGACATTTCTACCTTCTCCTCTCTGTCAACGCTCTCTGGTATAATTTAAAAGAGCCAATCATCAGATATTGTCCGAGATTAACCTTCAGGGTGGATATAGCTCACTCACACAGACCTATCCACGTCATCATTTACCCAGAATGCTTTGCGTGTAAATAAAATGTCTCCGTCCATGTTAAAATATATTTTAAAAAATTTACAAAACTAAACAGCCTACAGTATTTTTATAGTCTTTATTTTACAGTTAAAATAGATGTTTATCAAATAAAGTCTAATGTTTTAACTAATCAGGGATCCCTTTAAGACTTGTGAAAAACAAGTGGAGTGACAATGTTATCAAGCAACTGCCAGAGCATTCAACAATCAATGAAAGCAGACACAAAGGATTGCTACTAAATATTACATCAGACATGAGTTTGCTTAGGATGTTGTGAGGCAGAGTGTAGTGTTGTGTTGTAGTCAGACATGTGGGATAGATTTTCTAATGTGTTAGCTGTCTTATGTGTAGACCATCTCATGTGTTGTCTTTCTCATGTGTTGGCTGTCTCGTGTTGACTATCAAGTGTTGATTGTCTCATGTTGACTGTCTCGTGTTGACTGTCTCATGTGTTGGCTGTCTCATTTGTTGACCGTCTCATGTGTTGTCTTTCTCATGTGTTGGCTGTCTTATGTGTTGACTGTCTCATGTGTTGACTGTCAAGTGTTGACTGTCTCATGTGTTGTCTTTCTCTTGTGTTGGCTGTCTCATGAGTTGACTGTCAAATGTTGAATTTCTCATCTGTTGTCTTTCTCATGTGTTGGCTTTCTCATGTGTTAACTGTACAGTGTTGACTGTCTTGTGTGTTGTCTTTCTCATGTGTTGGCTGTCTCATGTGTTGACTGTCTCATGTGTTGACTGTCAACAGTTGACTGTCTAGTGTTGACTGTTTCATATGTTGTCTTTCTCATGTACTGTCTGTTAGGTTTTGACTGTTTCATAAGTTTACTCTCTCATGTGTAGTCTTTCTCACGTGTTGTATTTCTCATGTGTTTGCTATTTCATGTGTTGACTGTCAAGTGTTGACTGTCTCATTTGTTGACTGTCTCATGTGTTGACTTTCTCATGTGTTGGCTGTCTCATGTGTTGACTGTCTCATGTGTTGGCTGTCTCAAGTGTTGGCTGTCTCATATTGGCTGTCTCATGTGTTGACTGTCTTATGTGTTGGCTGACTCATGTGTTGACTGTCTCATGTGTTGTCTGTCTCATGGGTTAATTGTCAAGTGTTGACTGTCTCATGTGTTGTCATTCTAATGTGTTGGCAGTCTCATATGTTGAATGCCTCATACTGTCTTTCTCATGATGGCTGTCTCGTGTTGATTGTCAAGTGTTGACTGTCTCGTGTTGTCTTTCTCATGTGTTGGTTGTTTCATATGTTGACTGTCAACAGTTGACTGTCTCATGTGTTGACTGTTTCATATGTTGTCTTTCTCATGTGTTGTCTGTTAGATTTTGACTGTTTCATGAGTTGACTGTCTCGTGTGGTCTTTCTCATGTGTTGTATTTCTCTTGTGTTTACTATCTCATGTGTTGACTGTCAAGTGTTGACTGTCTCATTTGTTGACTGTCTCATGTGTTGTCATTCTAATGTGTTGGCAGTCTCATGTGTTGAATGCCTCATACTGTCCTGATGCATTTCAGTAATCCAGGTAAAAAATCAAAAAGAAAAAAAATTGTATAGGTCTTCTGGACGGGTTCTTCTCTAATGAAACGTTTCGTCTCTTCTCCAAGAGACTTCTTCAGTCTGCGAGTTTCAGGCAAAATTCAGGCTTTTAAGCCCAGCCTCCGTGTGACTGATACTCACATCACATGGCTATCATTGACATCTAATTAACACTTATTGTTAACAGGGGGTGGAGTGATACTGGCAATGGCCGCGCTGTAGGAGGGGGACAGCTGAAAACGGAGGCCTCCACCTCTGTTTAATGATKGACGGTCTTTCTTCACAAAAATGGCTTATTTTACTCCTCTCTCAAACCAACGTTCCTCTCTATCAAGAATGAGAACATCCTCATCTCTGAAAGAGTGACCGCTGGCCTGTAAATGAGTGAAAACTGCAGAGTTCTGGCCATTAGACGTAGCTCGTCTGTGTTGGGACATTCTTTTGAACAGTGGCTGCTTTGTTTCCCCAATGTATAACTGGTCGCAGTCCTCCTGGCACTTAGCATATACAACATTGCTCTGTTTGTGCCGGGGCACCAGATCTTTGGGGTGAACCAGCCTTTGCCGTAATGTGTTTTGGGGTTTGAAAGCCACTGGGACATCATGTTTAGAAAATAAATGTCTCAGTTTCTCCGAAACACCCGCAACATATGGAATAACCACTGGTTTGGGTCTGGGTTTGGGGTCTTCATTTTCACCTGAAGGTTGCATGGAATCCTGTCTGTGTTTCCTGTCTGCTTTCAGGAAAGCCCAGTCAGGATAACCACACTGCTCCAGGGCCTGTCATGTGTGTGATTTCTCTTTCTCCCTGGCTCCTGGGTTTGTAGGGACACTGTCTGCTCTGTGGTACAGAGTCCTGATCACTCCTAACTTGTGTTCCAGTGGGTGGTGGGAGTCAAAACGCAAATATTGGTCTGTGTGGGTGGGCTTACGATACACGCCAGTTTCCAACCGTCCAAAATATGTGTACAAAACATATGCGGAACTTATATTTATACGTCCCATGCTCCATGTCGATCACTATTTGGTGCTGTATGTGCTGCTCAAAGGATGTCACTGTGGAGTGCTTAATAAGCCACTCGCCCTCTTACCTAACCAGTTTCAGATGGTACTTAATATGGCCAACCCTCTGCGGGAACAAGCAAACCGAGTGAGTAGAGAGTAGGGTGAGTGTTTAGCCACTGATTGGGAAAGGCCCGAATGCACAGAGTACAGGAAACTATCTTCACTTCAAAATAAGAGCATGGATTTTAACGTTTTCCATGTTGTTGCTCCACTTGACCACTAGATGTCTTTCTTCATCAGCATAACATCTTTAAATCGTTTCCGCATCCCTTCAGCTAACCCTGTTAGCCGATTGCTTCGACCAATTATGTCAAGTATTGAGGTCCAGCGTTTAAACTTTATTATTTTTAAATAGGAGCTTCGATTGTAAAGTAAAATAAACCAATACATACAAAATTTTAGTATGGATTACAAACTTCAACTGTTTTCGCCTGGTCACATAGTTCTAACCACTGCCTTACTGCTACGTAAGCAGATACAAAGCATTGTGGGAAATGTCTGCAAAATGAGAACCGTGACCAAAAGCAACAGTCAGCGAGGATGTATACCTTCCCAATAAGTGTGTTTATCTGGGAGGGGTTCTGTTAGGTAGATTATGCGTGTTGTGATTCATTGACAGCCATGCCTTCTGCTGTTCAAGATAATGACTGGCAGATAATTCGTTATTATTAGCGGTACTGCATTTTAATTTTAGAAAGCGCAAATCTGCTTATGAATTATAAAAATTAGTAAAACCGCTGAAGCGCAAATTTATTATTTAGGTCCGCAATTAGTGGATTTGCGCTTTTGCGGGCTGGTGCCCACCACTGTTCAGGGGAGAGGGCAAACCCTGCTCATGTTGTAGAGACACCAGTGTTACTGCTGACGTAATGTGGACACCTTCAGAAAATACCTAAAGTCACCTTGGGTAGGGATTCGGTCAGTCTTGACAGCATATCAAGGACCTCCTRTGACCACATGGCTTACCTCTTCTGACACAACTCTAGTACAGCTTGTCGACATGTTGAAGCCCAGCAACACATGGTGTGGATGTGGCAGAGTGGCTAGGGAGGTTGTCCTGTAACTGGCGGGTTGCCGGTTTGATCCCACATTCCAGCCAGCTCAGTCATTTTGTCCTTGGGCAAGACACTTAACCCACCTTGCCTGGTGAGCGGTGGTGGTGCCTCCCCAAGACAGCTGTGGCTACATTGTGGCTTGCCACCATCAGTGTATGAATGGGTGAATGACTGAAGTGTAAAGCACTTTGGAGTCCAGAGGGACTTGATAAAGCGCTAYATACCTGTAAGTTCAATTCATTTACCATAAAACATGAAAAATGTGTTTATGAACTGCCTGGGTCTAGTCAACTTCCACATAGGTCCATCTGGGTCCCTCATCCTTCTCCAATCAAACATGTAGGATCAGCTTAGGTTTTAGCTCTGGTCCAGTGCCAGTCTGTTGAATACTGAGGGCCTACAGCTGCGGGCTGATATTTAGCTAGAGAGAATACAATGACTGTATAACTCCATTTTAAACCAAACTATTCAGACCCAAGTGGTAACACCAGACTTTGTGACTGGCACTGTGCTCATACTAACGTCTTATTGATCCATTTTATTTGATGTGAGTGTTTGCGGTGATGTGAGTGTATCTGTCATTTTTGATGTTCTCTAAGTTAAATGTGTGTTATCTCCTGCAGTTTGAGGGCAGCAGCCTGAGGCAACTGGTCAGTAAGATCTGCAGGGGGCGCTACACACCTGTACCTGTCCGCTACTCCCAAGACCTGCGCCAGCTTGTCACTCAGCTCTTCAAGGTACCAAACACTTGTGTCCTTGTTTGAAGCTCTGGTATGAGATAAACAAGTCAGAATACACAGCAGATACAAACAAAACCTGGAAGGTCACTCATCAGTTAAAACATCAAAACAAAGCAGAATAAGTCAGAGGTGTATAGTTATTATGTGTTTGTGTAGTCAGGAGTTGACTCAAGTATTAGTTTTACTTTAAACTGTTATTTTTGCTCAAATAAATTCAGATGATAAATTGTTTTCCTATAAAGCTGATAATACTTCATGTACATTATACTGACAGTGTTCAAATCTACAAGTAAGCACAGCATACAGCTGCAAAGAGAACTGAACATGTTTGTGTCAACACAAGTTTTAAGAACATGGACAAAGGCGCAACAACATATTTTTGGCACAAATGGAAGCCCGTATTTTTTTGCCTGAAAGTTTCAGTTCTCCGTGTTTTGAACACCTGAGATTCCTGATGGCTTCATGGTGACACAGAAGGTGACAGATTATCTAACAGTGTTTAAGGATTCAAAAACAGTGAGTTCACTTCTGTACCCACTCTATGGATCAAGGAATCAGGATTATAAGATTATATGTGTTCTTTCTCCTGACGACTTTGGCAGCAGCAGTCTGGATTAGTCCTAATTGAATTTTCCAGATAACAGAATGTCACAAGCAGCTGTTGAAGATCTGAGCCTGAGTTCCATGTAGGAAACACATCATCATCCAAACTACATTCACCTCATCACTGACACTTTCACTGTAGCAGTCAGAAAGAAACAGAAAGTTTTCACTCATCATGCTGAACAAAAACAGAGTTTTCATGCATCAGATCACCACACTTCATCATTTAAAATGTATCTGAACTTTAACTCATGTTTATTTATTTGAAAACTACAGAATCTGTCCTCTAGATTCCAGAGCTGAAAACTCCTGGTTTCTGTTAAAAATAATCAAGATTATCAATAATCTGATTTTAGTTTAAAATTTTACAAATATACTCTTTTTCATTTACTTTACTCACAGTCGGGTGCGAAAGTTTAGGCAGCCTTGTTAATTTTCCTGATTTACCTTTATAAATCATTGATTGTTCGGAAAAAAAAAATCAGTTAAATATATCATATAGGGGACAAACAGAGATATTTGAGAAGTGAAATGAAGTTTATATAATTTACAGAAAGTGTGCAATAAGCGGTTAAACAAAATTAGGCAGGTGCATAAATTTGGGCACCAAAAAAAAMAAAAAACCCTTAACTCAATATTTAATAGATCCTCCTTTCACAGAAATAACAGCCTCTAAACAGCTTCTAATGAGAGTCTGGATTGTGGCTGAAGGTATTTTAGATCACTCTTCTTTACTAAGCATCTCTACTTCTTTCAGGTTTGATGGTTTCCGAGCATGGACAGCTCTCTTTAAGTGATACCGAGATTTTCAATAATATTCAGGGGTCAGATTTATAAAGGATTGCATGGAAACCATGCTAAAAATGAACGTACGGCCAAAAGGTGAAAATGGTGTACTGTACGCCAAAAAAATTTCAGATTTATAAAACCGTGGGTACGCATGTTTCTGCACATTTTCCCTTTATAGATCACAGCTCTGCCTCATAATTTGCACACAAGGTCCCGCCTCAGGTTCTGCCCTCTACACACCCACACTCAACCATGAACAGTCAATGCAAAGTACCTCATGAATGTTGAGGTGTATTTAAATTAGTCAGCTGATAAAGTGATTGGCCAGTTCAGACGCGCTGCGTCGTGCGTTTGGAGGATGACAGGTGCTGACAACTGCTCACATGAACAGATTGTCTGTAATTTACACAGATTTTCCCTCATTTTGCAGGTTTACAGACGTTTAGAGTGATCTAATGATTTATTTCAAAAACTCAGCTTCAAATTAATTTTCTCTCAGAGGATGATAAAAACAATAAATAAAATAAATCAGATAAAGTTAAGTTCACCCCGCTCTTCCCCCTCGTCCTCCCCCTCTCTGCTCTGTTATCTGCGGCAGAGGCTGAGATGGCCATTCCAGAACCTCTGCATGAAGGCCTCAGTAGATTTTTAGCAGAGTTTAGGGTCGTTGTCTTGTTGGAAGATGCAGCCCCGGCTTCAGCAGCTTCAGCTTTGTCACTGATTCCTAGACATTGGTCTCCAGAATCTGCTGATATWKGTTGGAATCCATGCGTCCCTCAACTTTAACAAGATTCCCAGTCCCTGTACTGGCCACACAGCTTTACAGCATGATGGAACCAGCACCAAATTTCGCTGTAGGTAGCAGGTGTTTTTCTTGGAGTGCTGTTATTTTTCCTCCATGCATAACGGCCCTTGTTCTGTCCAAATAACTCTATTTTAGTTTCATCAGTCCACAGCATCTTATTCCAAAATAGCATACTTCAAGCAGCTCCGTTTGTGATGTGGGCGGAGAAAAAGTTTCCTCGGCATCACTCTCACATACAGCGTCTCCTTGTGTAAAGTGTGCCGAATAGTTGAACGATGCACAGTGACTCTATCAGCTGCAAGGTGATGTTGTAGGTCTTTGGTGCTGATCTGTGGGTTGGCTCTGACTGTTCTCAACATCTTTCACTTCTGTTTATTCCAGTTTTTTTTTAGTCTGCTACTTTGAGCCTTGACTTGAACTGTGCCTGTGGCCTTCCATTTTCTCACAATGTTTCTCACAGTGGAGACTGAAAGCTGAAATCTCTGAGATAGCTTACTGTATCCTTCCCCTAAACCAGGACGGTGCACAATCTTTGTTTTCAGGTCATTTGAAAGTTGTTTTGAGACTCCCATGCTGCGACTCTTCAGAGAAGATGCAAAGAGGAGAAAAACTTTCCCTCCTAAAAGGCCCTTTCTCATAATTGGAGTCACCTGTGTATGGAGGTCAAGGGTCACTGAACTTACCAAACCAAATTTGAGTTCCAATCATTAGTTCTAAAGGTTTTGAAATAAATAAATTTACAACAGTGCCCAAATTTATGCACCTGCCTAATTTTGTTTAACCAGTTATTGCACACTTTCTGTGAAACATATAAACTTCATTTCACTTCTCAAATATCACTGTATTTGTCCCCTATATGATATGAAGACTATGGGCGACTGGAACACTCTCCACCTCACCTGCTCCATCCAATCACTACATCACACTCCCAGCTGCAGTCAATCAGCGTCAGATCCTCACCTCACCATACCAATCAACTCACAGGGATCCAGGTCTAAAGGCCCAGCACCCAAGAATCAGCCTGCTCACCTGACGCTTTAACCCACCTCCACCTTCATCTCAGACTCTTCCTGGCTTCCCCTTCCCTCTGGCCTCCACACCACCACCAGTGTACGAGCCCCGGGGGGAAGACGTTGTTCTTAAATCCTAAGCTGAGTGCTAGCTCACAGTAGTTCGCTGTCTTCTGCCGGGGCTCGAGCTCCAACGAACTTTTTCAAATCAATAAAACTGGTTAACTGCTGCATTTCTCTGTGTGAGTCTTTCCAGGCTGAAATATTTTACTGATTTTTTTATCCAAATAATCAATGATTTATAAAGGTAAATTAGGAAAAATAACAAGGCTGCCTAAACCTTCACACCCCACTGTATATAGTATGTAAGAGGTTTATGAACTTTAAAATGCAATGTGGGAGTGTTTATTATAACAAGCAACTTTGTTAATTCCAATGTGAAAGAGACTGTGAATATCTTTGATTTATACTGTAAAAAATGTGATTTTTTAGGGGTCCAAGCCCGAGGAAGCAGGGTAATGCAGCTGCAAAGCAGCAGCGTTTCCATGTCTCCA